GTCCATTGTTGATGGTAAGAAGATATCAAGTGATATTCCTAACTAGTATCAAGATTTTCAAGACATTTTTGAAAAGAAGAATATAAATATTCTTCTAGAGCATTGCCCTTATGATTGTACCATTGATCTTCGAGAAAGAACTGAACCACCATTTGGACCAATCTATAGCCTATCACAAAATGAGTTGGTTGCATTCAAAGAATATATTGATGAAAATTTGGCTAAGAACTTTATACACTATTCTAAATCTTTAACTGACACTCTTAACTTATTTGTAAAGAAAAAAAATTGATCTTTGTAGATGTATCTAGATTATTGATGACTTAACAAGATTACTATTAAGAATAGATATCTTCTATCTTTGATTTTAGGACTTCTTGATCAATGAAATCAAGCAAAGATCTATACAAAAATAGATCTACAAAGAGCATATAATCTGATCTACATCAAAGAAGGAGAAAATAGAAGACTACTTTTTGAACTAAATATAGAAATTTTGAATATAATGTCATGCCTTTTGGACTTATAAATGCACCAACTACTTTTCAATACCTAATGAATGATATCTTTCGTGAATTTCTTGATGATTTTGTCATCTATTATTTAAATAAAATTTTAATCTATTCTAAGAACACAGAAGAGTATGAGGTTTATATTTGTCATGTGTTATAAAAACTAAGAGATGCAGGATAATATATAAAGATGAAAAAATGTGTATTCTATACTATTTAAGTTGAATTTTGAGGTACATCATTTCCAATAAAGGCCTTATGATGGATCTAAGAAGGTCCAAACTATCATAGATTTGAAGATCTCAAGAATGATAAGACATGTGCAATATATTTTGGACTTCGCCAATCATTACCGAATCTTTATCAAGAAATTTTTTCAACTTACAATTCCACTTACATATTTGACTTGTAAAGCCAAACTTGAGTAGAATAAAGAAGCCAAAGCATTATTTGTTGTTTTAAAGAAGGAATTTATCTTTGTACTAATTTTGTATCACATTGATTTTTCTAAAGCATTATTTATGGAAAAAAATGCATCAGACTTTGCCTTGGGAGTAATATTGTCACAAATGGGAACAAATGACAAATCCCATCTAGTAGCTTTCTATTCCAAGAAATTTTCAACAGCTGAGATTAACTATGAGATCCACGACAAAGAACTTTTTATAATTGTGGATTCATTTCAAGAATGGTATCATTATCTAGAAGGTATTTTAAGTCTAGTCACAGTATATACAAATCACAAGAACCTCTAGTATTTCATGTTGGCACATATTTTGAATCATTGCCAAATCCATTGGAGCATATCATTATCAAGATTTGATTTCAAGATCACATATTGATTTAAAAAATAACAAGGTTTATAAGATGCTCTTTCTAGATGTTCTTTTTAGATGTTCTTTCTAGATGCTCTTATTTTATACAAAAAGAATGAAATGTATCTTTTGATCAACAAAAAACAATCATCTTGAAGCCAAAGCATTTTTATCTTTGAGCAATGAAATCAACATTGATTGTTGATTTGATTTTTGTCAAACAAATTCAATCAATTATGTCTTCTAATCTTCTTATTCATGATATCAAGAATTTTTCTTCTAAGTCACATGATGTTTCAAAGTTCGAGTTTAAAAACAACCTACTCTACTTTGAAGGATGCCTATATGTTCTAGAAGAAGAAGCATATTTACATGCTCTTTAAGCACATGACGACTTTCTAGCAGCACAACATTTTGGATACAACATGACTTTAGAGCTTATATCTAGGGATTTTTGGTGGCTGTAAATGTAAAAGGCAATAAAAAACTTTGTTTAGTCATATGACATTTATTCAAGATCAAAAACTCCTCATCATCAATCCTATGGACTTCTCTAACTATTGCTTATACCTAAACAACTATGATCTTTTATTTCTATGGATTTTATTATAAATCTTTTAAATTCAAGTTTATGTGATTCTATATATGTAATCATAGATTATTTCACCATAATGGAATATTTTGTATCATATACAAATCTATTTTAAGTAAAAAAATAATTAAATTTTTTATTAAAAATATCTATTGCTATCATGGATTGCTGAAAGATATTATATTAGATAGAGGGATTCAATTTGTATCAAGATTTTGGAGAACCATATTCAAGATTCTAAAGATGGATATAAAGCTCTCTTTAACTTATCATCATTAAATTGATGGACAAACGAAATGAATGAATCAAGTTTTGGAGTAGTATTTGATGTGTACTATCAATTATTATCAAGATGATTGGACAACTCTTATGCCATTGATAAAGTTTTTATACAATAATTTGGTATATTCTTCTATTCAACAAACATCTTTCTTTGACAATTGTGATCATCCACAACTTGATATTTTTGACTTTTCAAAAATTGATAATTGTGCTGCAAAAGATTTAACAAAACATTTGCCAGAGTTACATTTAACAATGAAGATACAATTAAAGGAAGCTCAAGAACAACAAAAGACCAACATGGATGCCTATCAAAAGGAACAACTATAATTTAATGTGGGTGAGAAGGTATAGTTACTTTGTTGTAATATCAAGACTACTTATCATTGTCATAAGTTAAACTATCGTAGACTAGAACCTTTTCTTATTTGTAAACAAATCAATCATGTTGCTTATCAATTATATCTATTGGAGTCTATGAAGATCCACCCTATATTTCACATATTCCTTCTTGAGCCATATAAGATAGTGAATATCTTGGAAAGAAGACAAATGCCACCTCATCCTATAGAAATAGATAATAATCAAGAATTTGAAGTAGAAGAAGTTTTAGATTCAAGATAGTACCAAAATAGGTTAAAATATCTTATTCATTAGTATAAATATGATATTAGTAAATGTATATGGGAGCCAGCAAAGAATCTTACAAATGCAATAAAGAGAATTAAAGCCTTTCATCAAAAACATCCATCAAAATTAAGATGAAGAATAGCAAATCTTTACTATAAAAGAAACAAGATCAAAGAAAAGTAATACTTTATCTTCTATCATTTTTTATAGTTTCTGTGTGATTAAGAGATGGAGAAACAACAACTAGCACATTTAACTCAAGAGCTTTTATTTGTGAACGTATCAGATAAAACATTGTAATTTTCACAACCTTCAAGTCAAAGAAAATGAGATGAAGATCCTTGAGAATAGCATGTCCTTCCTTGAATAGATGGCGAGATATAATTTGTTTGATATCTCGATCTTCGAAGAGACTCTTGATGTTTGGTGATTTTATTAGAAGTAGGAACAAATCTTAATGGTATTCCTAATGTTTTATTTGAAGGAAGTTATGAAGGCCTCAATAATGACAAAATAATAGGGTAGTCTTTTCACCTTGGTATAAGATACTATTGATAGCTGAGAGGGCCTATCAACCATCTTCAAAGAGAATAAAGATTAGAATATGTGGTAAATACAATTCATCGCATCTTGAATTTTTTCAAGATATAAAGATCTTTCCTTATGGAACTTGTCTCAAGAAGGGGGAATAATATCACGGACATATACATTTATCTCAATATTTACTCATATGATTAGGTAGTAGTAGATAAATATAGATTAATTTCATAAAGTCTTTTAGAAAAGCTTTTCATAGATGATGTTTTGACTTTATATATGTTTGTAGTTGATTGATACATTAGAAACTTACTCAACAAGTTAACCAAGGGTCGGTAGCTTGTGGAACAAGCTAACTATGTGGTATACATATAGAAAACTTACCTTGTAAGTTAAGATATGTGTCTTGTAAAGTCAACATATTTTGGAGGACCTATAGGACATCGCCACATAACTCCTAGTTAAGAGTATATATAGAGGCAAGAATAAAGCCTTCTTCACTCTTGTCAATGCCTTTCTAGTCCTTAGTCTTATTCCAAGATTGTCTAGTCTTCTTGTTTTGGCAATAGTCATTCTAATTCAATATTATATCATCTTTGAGTGACTTTCTAATTCCTTTCAATGATATACTAGTGTATTAAAGATTTTTTTTTCTCAAGATTTATATCCTTGACAAAATATTGCACAAATCAAAATTTGCAATGCAAGCACATAGAGTAAGCATTGATGTATCAATACTAACTTAATTGGCTAAACTTGCCTCTCCGTGCATTTTTATCTCTTTGAGGTTGTGGCAAGAAAGAAAATTTTCAAGTCAACCATTGAAAAACTCCATTTTGCCTTCAAGGATTGCAACCATCTTTGCAAAGCATCAACCATGCTCTTTAATGAACTCCATTGACAACTACACATTTCAAGTTTGTTGTTGTAGAACCTACATAGTAAGTGATTTCTTAAGGTTGAAGTTGGACTTAATCCATAGCATTGTACACATCCCATTTCTTCAGGATTTTGCTAATAGAGACTTACTAAGGTGCTTTTGCAAGCTTGACAGGTACATGCTAGATTCAGAGATGTGCTCACAATGCTCTTGTTGCAAGAATTCTCGCATCTCATAGTGCCAATTGGCATCCTATCGATGCTGCTGCTGCTGTGCATGATCTGTACCGATGTGATGGATGCGAACCAACGGCTTCGAAGCCTCTCATCTGCGGTTAATCTAGCAATCTTTCAACGGTCTTAACCTGATTGGGCAACTCTCCAGCCATGCAGATTGTCTGTATGAGTGGGATGGATTATGAGGTTTATGTGGCGACACCATCGAATGAACTTGGTTTTGTGGATACATATGTCTTCCTCATGTCGCTGATCGCAAACCCAGTTATTATTCTGCCTTCAGCTCATCTTACATACACAACTTGATTCAAAACTTTTCAAGTTTCGAGGACTTTTTCTGGTCACAGCATGCTGAATTTGAGCTGCAGAAGTTGATGATTGTTCACAAACCGGCGCAGCTGACAAACTCCAGCAGCTTCCACATGGTGGGTTCACTTCTGTGACACGGGGTGAAATTCAGATGGGTTCAAAGACCTTTTAAGCAGAATATGATTGTAAATGTACTACGATGGAGAATTACATAAAATTGTGTCATTCATTGTATTAAATTGCTAGCTAACATTGTACAGATCTCAGGGATTGCGAAGTCCCTAGAACATAAGCAACACGCCTACAAAGGCAACCTGCAAAGGGTGCACAGAATTTCCCCTAGGTAAAGAATAAGGTATTTAACCAGTGTGGGCACCAGCCAACTTAGCGAGGATCTAGTCCAAGCGTTTCCGATCTAGTGGTGCGTGGACCCTCGTCACAAAATTGTATAAACCAATTCTAGACTCGTAATTTACAGCTCCGGTTTATCCACCATTTTCCGAACAGACAGCTCCCACATGCGCAATCGATCGAGCTCCGGTCTAGATCGTTGAATGAGCTTGCGTGGTCCAGTGGAGCTCAAACTCACTACCAACAGACAAACTCAGACCTGAGATGGTGACGGAAGGAATTGCAGCATCGAACGACGAGGAGATGGGTGATGACACTGGCACTCCGTTGATTGTGAGAGAAGACGGCGCATTGTTGGCCCCAAGGATGACCACAGTTTGCACAACCAAGTCCTCCTGGGTGGCGTAGTCCCCGCTCACCACCTTCGACGCCAGGACACCTCTCTGCTCAGACTGCTGTGCGAAGAACCGCACAAATGTCGACCTGCCCTTTCGAATCACCATCTCGATATCGTCACCATTATCCAGGAAAAGCTTGCCTGTGGCATACCCCAAGGATTTCGAAGCTGGGAATGCCACCATGAGCGTGAAGGGCGTCTTCATCACTTCGGCTGATGTCAATGCGCTCTCTTGCATCGGCAAAATGGTGCCCTCGTGGAGGTGGACGTTGATGGAGTCTAATGGAGCAGCAAGTTCCACATACTTTCCCTCGCTTTCCACTTTCGAGGCGACATCGAAGAGGTTGTACCATGTGCCCTTGGGGAAGTAGCCATTCACGGTCGTCACCTTGGGAAGCACAACAGGGGTTACCATGACACCGCTCCCGAGCAGGAACTGGTCGCTAACCTTCAAGGTCTGGGCGTCCTCGGGGAAAGCAAAGAAGAGAGGCCGGGCAATGGGAGCGCCCTTGTTGTGAGCTTCAAACATGAGGCTGTAGAAGTAGGGGAGAAGGCGGTACCGCATGCCAAGTGCTTTTCTGGAGGATGCGGCCACTTGTTCCCAGACGTAGGGCTCTTGCGGGGTAGCACCGAAGGTGTTGTGGTTACGAGAGAAGGGGTAGAAGGCTCCAAGCTGCATCCATCTGTTGCAAAGCTCTTCGTTGGAGTCATCGGCGAAGCCACAGATATCGGCCCCCACCATTGGAAGCCCAACCATTCCAGAATTCAGAATGCTGGCGATGGAGTACTGAAGATCCTTGAACGTTGCAGCGTTGTCGCCGGTCCAGTGGGCCGTCTGTGATCCAGAACCCACGAAGGTAGACCTGCACATGGCGGAGTCGCGATGATTGTGAGCTCATAGACAACAAACACATTTGCAGAATCATCAAGAATAACGAACTGCTCACAGAAAATAAAGAAGAAGAAAAAGAAAAAGGAAAAACACTGGCTTCCAAGGAGGACACTATGTCAAGAATGAAGGGTACCTAGCAAGAATGAAGGGGCGCTTCTTGCGGGTGGCCTTGAGCGCATCGTTAGTAGCGACGGACTCCGACAAGCCAAACAGATTGTGAGCGTTGTATTCCAAAGTGCCGTCGAAGTGCTTCACCCCCATAGCGACGGTCTTGTCACCAAGGTTTTTGTACGCGGTCTCAATCTTGTAAGGGGGGTTGTCCCATTGAGTCGAAGACTCCTTGCACTCCAAGTAACATTCATTGAGGTTCGGGTAAACCACGCCATTGAACTTGCACTGGATGCCGCTGCAGAAATTCGAGACCTCGTTCATGTCGATCCAGAGTCCGTCGAAGGGAACTTTCTGGTGAAACACCGACACCTCGTTAGCCCACCACGCCTTCCCCTTGGGGTCGAGGAAATCGGGGAAGTACACGGGCCCGGGCCACACTTGCGCAAGGTAGTTCTCGTTCTGATCATCCTTCAGGAAGATGTCAGCGGCAAGTCCGCGCTCAAGGGTGCTGTAATTCTTGTAGGCCATGCTAATTCCTGCGATCCAAATGCACGAACATCAGAATCACAAGAACAAAAACCTCGTGGACAAGAAGGCTCTCAACATAGCTCACCGATGTCATAACAACCTCATTTCACTGTGTTCTGTGCAGTGGCAGCCTAGACATCGACGAATTATGACATTCCAGGACTCAAGTTGCTGCTTACCTGGGTCAAGAATCAAAACATAGTGTTGTCCGTTCGCGTGAAGCTCCTCAACGAAACTCTTCAGCTGATCCTCAGGATAGTTCACAGCATCCGTGGTAAAATCCAAGTAGTTCTGCATGTAATCGATGTCGTTCCAGATTGTGTCCAGGGGAATCTTGGCCTTCTTGTAGCTCTCCACTACGTATTTGAGCTCGTCCACATTCTTGTAGCCCCATCTGCACTGGTGGAAACCTGTTGAGCCCCAACACGCAAATCGATTAACGATGAGTACACTTCTCAATACAAATGTCGAAAAACGATTTCTCGCAGTGCCACGAAATCTTGTGTGAAAAACGAAAACAGAGCTTCCTAAGCCGCGAACTTACCAAAAGACCAGTAAGGCATCGGCGCTGGGCGGCCTACGAGCTCCGTGTACTGGTCCATCACGTCGAGCGGTGTGGGTCCTGCGAGGAAGTAGAAGTCAAAGGTGCCCCCAATCACACGATACGTCAGATAATCGCCGCCGTAGTGGATGTCCATGCCATTGCTATTGAGCAGCAGCACACCGTGCGTAAGTCCTTCAGCGCGCACGTCAATGTAGTAAGGGTAGGCTCCATATAAATCCACATTCGCGTTCATGGCGCCGATGTCCGTCGCCCAAAGGGAGTACGTTTTCCCCTTCACAAGGGGAAGCCCGTCCGGCCTGGTGCTCTCGCCGAGGCCAAACAGCGTCGCGTAGCTCGGGATATGGGTCGAGATTTCCAGGTACTGATCCTTGAAGACCATAGAATTGAAGGACGGGGACTCCACGCCTTCCAGCGACGTCGTGACGCTGGGAGTGGAGTTGAAGAGTACCTCATTGTTGGCAATTCGCGTGACGGCAAACCCGAACGGGTTGGTGGTGTAGGTGAGCTGGATGAGGGGCTCCTGAGGTAAGGAGAGGCGATTGCTCTTTCTTGTGAGGGGCTCATTGCGGGGGACAAGAGAGATCGGCACTTCCCAGCGCGCCTTATTTTTGTCCGAAATTTGGACGTGAACTCGGAACTGGCCTTCCACTCTGCACACACATTAACAGAGGACTCGGAGAATTATTAGAAATTCAAGTCGTTTGGGAGATCTCGCAACTCTCCACTCTCGCGAATCAACTTAAAGTGCACAAGGAGAGATTCTATTTGCAGCTTGTATTTCGGCAGACGTCGTCACAGATCTCTCAAACAGGGGAATGGCTAAGAACAACGTTGTTTACTTCTTACAAACGCTAGAGTGTGTATAAAAGACCCCTAGAAATAATGAATTGGGCGAGTCTGAAAGCTTTGCGATCTATACGCAAAATCTTACACAATGCGCTCACCAAGAGAACAATCCAAAGAAGACAATTTTCGGAAAGACTGTACACTCTGCAGTTCAATTCAAATCACGGGCTCGAAAGCAAGAGCCGCAAAGTTTATGAAGCTAGACGCACCTAACAGTCATGCGAAGATCGGTGATGTCGGCCCCGTAGAGCTCTGTCTGCTCAATCACCTCAAGATCCGCCACAAATCCCCGCCCGTCTGGAAGCTCGTAAACCTCCGTCACACGGTGGCCTTTACCCAGCGGCTGGTCGAAATTTCTCTCAACGGAGGAGTCTCTGACGCCCGACAAGCGCTGCGCTTTCCCGGCGTGCACCTCCACAACCATGAAGCTGGTTAACGCCAACGTGAAAGCCATGGCCCAGAATGCCGCCATGGAGGACTTCATTGGATAATCCCCACTTCAACACCACTACGAGACCAAGAATGATCCCGAGAAGGAAGTGGACCAAGTGCAGCAGCACGCTACAGAACCCAATTGTCACTCACTGACTCTTCTACTTCTTCAAGCGATTTCTCAACACATCTACTCCGCCAACAACTGGAAAAGAAATACACATAGAACCCAAACTACAAAACCAAACAACAAAGTCTTTTGAAGGGAACTTGGGCGATTGAGAGCTCGATGCAGCTGACTGCTCAACTGATCAACCTTTACCCAGACCTAGGAAACCGCGTACACGTCTATCACACACTCCACCTCTAATCTCCTAAGACACTTCCTGGTCAAGTGAGTGCTCATGGATTAATATACTCTTCAACAACTCCACCCAATTCTATGTAACTCTAGTTCTTAGTTAGGGGAAGCTGGTGGGGATGAATCGACTTGCTGCAAGTTACGGCACGGCGATCGAAGAGGACTCAACGTAGTCCAAAGTGGCCGGTAACAGACTTAAATAAAAAAAAAAAAAAAAAAAAAAAAGAGTCAAGAGTCAATCCGGGTTTCTCCCTAGCAAGCAAGATGATGAGTGCAAGTCAAGTGAATTTGTGTGTGTGTGTGTGTGTGTGAAATTGGTTCATGTGGTCCCGGAACTAGGCCATTGTAGTGTTTGAGGGATTGTCGAGAATACGGCGGTTGACGACCAGGGCGGCGTTTTGGACGGCGTCCTTAGTACACCACCTTCCTCCCCTCCCTTTCGGTGGCGTTGCGTGTCTGCATTACGACTTGATTTAGACCAGACTGGAATTTCTCATAGGATTAACGGGGAAAACTCCTCTTAATTGTTCTCGTAAACTCATGCAAATTCGCCGCTGATTGGGATCCCATGCGGCCTGACTCGCTGTCCGTCATGGAGTACGAAGCACGCGACGAAACCTCGCCAGAGCTGAGCGAACGAAGTCCGTCGCAGTTAGACGAAGCTCCCCCTCGGTCGTTGGCTAACTCACCCGTCGCATCGGTTGTGGACCCAGTCCCGTCGCTGTCGATGAATGGGTTTGGATAACCTCAACGGGTGGGGCGCAGCCCTTTCCCCTCCCCCACCAGCCAGCACCTTCGACGGAGCTTCTGTTCCTCGTCCACTTGGACAACTGTCGTTGAGTGTCGTTCGTTCGGACTCGTCCTACTGTTCGCTACATCGGATTTCTTTAAACGCCGTTTTGTGTGCATGCTAGATTGGTTCTTTATGGGCATTGGGGAATTTGGAGAGAATTCTTTTTTATAGTAAAGAAGAAGAAAAAAAGGTTATGGAACAGCATTTGCATTTCAAAGTATTCAGAGATTTTATAATTCATTCCACAACATGCTATCTAACCATTGTTGGCACTGTTGGCACTTTGGATTGTGATTTATGAACATGTTAAGTATCAACAATATATATATACATACATACATACAGAGAGAGAGAGATTATATTCAATTAGAATTGTTCTTGAATAAATTAAATGTTGACTACAACCACTAACTAGTTGATTAACACCTTCAATTCTACTCAAAACTGCTTGTATTGCACATTGTTAAGTTGCCATTCACATCAATTTTGAGATTGTATACTCAGAAGATTATGCTTAGGGGACAAAAGGAGAGGTTCCAATAATTAATTCCTTTCATGGGATGGTTAGCAAGTCAGCAAATTAAAGAAATAAAATGTTGTGGCCCCTCATCTTGTCCCCTAAGTAAAAAAAAAAAAAAAAAAAAAACATAAACCATAAACATGCCAACTCAGTTTGCTTCCTGCACTTTTATAAAGGTAGCTTGCATCTTTAACAACTAAAATGTCTTATCATTTGAAGATCTTAAGTCAATTTTTTTGAACTTGTGCATACAGAAATCCGCTTATTATCATGTTATGTCTCCAATACATGGCATTAGTTGCAAATAGCATTGTGCAATAGTTGATGAGATTGGCTTGCCTTGGTATACGAGTTTTTGAAAAGGTCCATGTTGTACATCTATAGCATCATGATGGACATATAGCTGATCCATTTTATCTTGAAAAATCATCTCTACCAAGAAAGTTCAACTTTTCAAACTTACTCACCCAACATTAAAGTCACTCAATTTTGGAAATATTAAAAGTCAAGATGTTTATGCAATTTACATACAAGATCTTACACTATAGAATATTCATTCTTTTTATAAGACCTAAAAAAAGTTGCATTTATGAAAGTGTGTGTAACTGATTGTAGATATTGGATTCACACGCAGATGAAAAAACTACACAAAACTGCACAAGAGGCGATCCTCACCGTCGATTGACCCGATCGCGACGGTGCGATCAAAATCGGATGTCGTTATTCCTGGACGATGAAAATAAATCGACGAAGCCTCGACATAATATTGTTCATTCAAAAGTGAATTGAGCAGAACGTGACGTGGACCAGATTCCGAAAGCAGCGAACATGTGGAGACAGGGTTTGATAAGGCTTTTCCCCGTATTCCGTGGAGCCTGGATCAAAGCAACACGGAGACAAGGTGGGCCCCGTCACCGCGGTTTAAGGCAACGCAATTCGCCTTCTTTTGGCCTCAAAAAGCGAAAGGCGATTGTACATTCTGGTGACCCTTTGCCCAACAATTATTCTTACAGAGACCTAAATTCTTCTTCACCCATTACAACAACATAAACCCTTCACTTGTATTAGGGTTTAACACCACCATTTCCACACTCTAACATATGAGAATAAGATGCCTAGTAGTTGCAATGCAGGAGCCAGTCGATTCAACCCTAGTTGATGTACATGAGTATGTGATTTGCTTTAAAAAAGACAAGGAAAAGGGCAAGGACATGAGTAAAATGGACATCAATGTCACTGTTTGCAGGGGTTGTATTTCTTGTCCCCAAGTGAGGCAGTTGATATGCTCTTTGTCAGCATCTCAAGACAAAGGGAGGGAGGGAGTATTCATCAATAGCAAGATGCATTGGACCCATGTTTCCAGTCATGCCTAGCTTTCAACTGGTTACTCTCTTAACTAAGTTTACTGCTGCTCTTGCTTGATTCTGTTGCTGTCACTTACTCCCATTTTAAGTCTGTCAAATTAAACAGAATTCATGTGTTTTACAATCCCCCCCCCCCCTCCCCCCCCCCCTTCCTTACTGAGCTTGACTTTACTACAAGGAGGGAGAGCACAGGCTTTCCATCACCTGCAAACACCCACCTTGTACCACAAGTTTGTATTTTGTATTTTTATCAGTTCATTAGTTTAATTATAAAATAAGCATACCCACGGAGCATTCAAGTGAGCAAACATAATATATTATAATAATGAGTAATAAAAAGGAAGAAAGGGAGGAAAGGTCATGCAAAAGTCAGGCATTTTGAGCAGGAGGGAGACACATGTGCCATTGTAGACATCTTTTGTAACACGAGAGTCTGCCTTTCCTTCCTTCCTTCCCGCCTGCCCTCCCACTCACTCTCCACACGACTGTGCAGGTAAAACACAATCAACAATCAACTGCAACAAAGCGCGAGCATTATTCTCATGGTCTCTCACGGACAGTGCGCACAAAAAGGAATAAGCCACCGGAAATTTCCCTATATGTTCTTTGCACTTGTAAACAAGAATCATGACAAAAAGAAAAAAAAGAAAAAAAAGAAAAAGAGAAAAAGCTGGGGGTCAGTGCGTCTCAAATATCCTGGGATGGGGCACAGAATCCTTGTTGCGAGGAAAAGAGAAAAGAGTGAGAATAGGGACAAATCGTTTAGTCCGTCCGCTCAAAAAGTTCGCTCATCACTATGGATTATCTGACAGCAATGTTGCCATTCGCCGGTGTACGTTTTGCCCAGATTCTCCCATAGGTTCAATCTCACAGACGATTCGTAACAGGCTGCGGTACGGGAATTCACAACTTCGAGAGAGAGAGATGTATAATCTTAGCTCAGAAACGGTTTAGGACCACGATCAGAAGTTCGAAAGAAAACTAATCTCAGAAAATATGCCATAGAATATTATAATTATATACAGATATATTCTCTTACTTTTTCGGAATGGCACGAGCATCACCCTCCTTATCCGTGTAAAATTTCACCACCATCAACGTCATTAACCAAATTTTGAATACTTCGGGATAATGACATTGTGAGACGATTAAGGTAAATGAGGTTTATAATTAGACATTGTGTTGGTTCCCATTCCCCAGGCGATTCCGATCGACAGGAATCTTTCGTCGTCCCCCCCTTCGATCGAGCTCTTGAGTTCGTAACTTTTTATTCGTGAAAATTGTCTGTCCATGTCAGACGTGCATCGTCCTTTATTTTGTTTCACAAATGTTGATCTTATCCAGAATAGAGTCCCCAATGAATGTGTCACACATTGCACCACTCGTGAGCCCTATCATTTCCTGTCCAAGTCACAAATTGTTAAAAGGAAGCTTTCTTCACGCTGTGTGTGTTACTCCCTGACAGCTGTCGCCTTTCACTGGCACGTTTTGCTTTGAACCAGTTCTTGCTTGCTGTAGTTTGCTAACTTGTAGGCTTAGGAATGTCTTTCAGGGCGTGTAGAACTGCACTTCATAATCCAACGTGTAGGATCGAGATTTGCCAGGAGATCGAAGTCACCTCACTGAACCCTTCAGACTCATTTCCAAGCTGGGTAGTAACTCTCATTTACTTCTGCTTCTTAAATGCACATGTCATCCAGGGCACCTTCCACGCATCCAAGGTCACTGGAAGCTTCAGATGCAACGGACAAACTCTGAACAGTTGCTATGCTTATCGTTTGCAACTGCCACTGTTGCGAACATCAACAACACTGCATGAAATTCCGCGCCTCAGGCTCCCTGATTCATCGACCACTAGGCTTCGACATTGGACCAGGCAATTATCTATAATTCGTCCTACATGCATCGAATTACCACCTCTTGGATTTTACGTCGATTGGCAGGTACATAACCTTCGTATGGTTTTTCAAAACTGAGTTTGCGTTGGTTGCACTCCAGTGCTGGGTAAAACTGTGCCGTAAGAATTTCATGAGCCAGAAGGTGGGAAAGATCCTTTGGATCATCATCGCAAGTTTCCCACGCAACGGCGCAGTGCACATTCCAGAGCCTCTTTGAATCTTCTGCAGGGTCGATGCCATACAAGAATACCTTCCAACGGCAAGATAGGAGTTTACGCCACACAATGTAGACTGGGTCCCTGGAAGGGACAGATGCCGAATGCAAGTAGTCCGAGGAAACTGGGACCACGAGCGTGTCAGCCGAGGATCTCTGCAGCGCGAGCACTGTGGAAGCAAGATTCCAAGGCTTATCCACACGGCCCACAAAGTTGGAAACAAGCGCCGGAGGTGAGTTTCCGCGATTGGGCTCCAAAATCGAAGGGCTTTGAAGTGATCCCACCCGCTTTTTCCTTCACTTTGTCAGGGCATGCTCCATTCATGCACCACCACCTGCTCCTTGCCTGCTGCCTGCGACGCTGAGAACCGATCCTGCTCGTTTATTATCTCCTAAATCCGTGCGAACTTACCAACGTT